TGCTATTGTGAGAAGTTATGTAATTCGTGTGGACTTGACGCTCGGTGTTGCGAAACCTCGCATCCGACCCTTTCGAAACCCTTGTGAAACCTCGCACCCACCGCGAAAATATTTCTCTTTCTGAATGTAAACCTGTAAAATCGAAGTCAAGCGCCCAATACTTGAAGCGAGTTCATTTAGTGGCGCATTCTGGGACGTTGCCTAACGTAGGTTGGCTTATGTAAGGTTCACTAAAAGCCTTCCACTGATGGACACTCAGTTTTGATGTGGCGTTGGCTAAATTCCTCTGAATGCTGCTTTTGGAAGGTTCTTTGCGGTAAGGTCAACATTCACTCGATTTGTCAGCCTGCTTGCAGAGTTCAAGGTCAATCCAATTAAATAAAAGCTGAAGGTCAAAGGGGGACAAAACAGACTTCTGGGAATACCGCTCGTAAATCGTAAATGCCAGGAGATTAAGAAGTTGGAATGATTTAAGCCCCGATCTGGACTTAGCTCCCGCTCCTGATCGAGGCCACGTCTAGTTAAGCACGAAACTGGATCAAGTAGGAAATCGCTTAACGAAATATGCATTTTAGTGCCTGAATAGACTGAGAATAGCTTGGACTACAATCACCGGGGGGTACTTTGCAATCTGGACTGTCTTTTAGGGGGCTAAGGGCTGTTCTGCTTGATACCAGAAATCTCTTCCTCACCACTAAATCGATTTCATCGCGACAACGCATCAAGTCGGCCTAGAAGTTGGGTCGTCCGTGACATTTTGAGGGAATCCATGTTCACGGACTTGTTTTGCCGTTGTTTATCTTGATTAAGAAATCAATACCTCTCATTTTAATCTGAATCTTCACGATCAATAAGTGAAATTAACCGTTCATAGACTCAAATGTTATTTGTGGTCTTAATGACAGTGTGTTTCTCGTCAAACTAGTGTTGACGTAGCATGACAAGAGGCAAACATCTGTGGAACGGCTTTGTGTGAATGGCATCAACTCAAATCCCACAGATGTCACTACATCGAATTTAGCGGCATGTACTACTGAAATGCTATTCCAGTAATCGCTGCTCCGTATGAAATACAAAATGCACAGTACTCTAGCGAATTGTTTCCATTTTTTTAAAAGTGAAAACTAGGAGTAATAAGAAAATCGATCAGGCGGTCCCTATCAAGGTGTTTGAAACAATAAGTGCTACTTTTGTTTGAGTTTAGTGAAATTTGCATACTTTCTCGTAAAGGCAAAATCGAAGTGTTTTTCAGGAGTAACAGTTACATGCGACAGAAAGCAGACCAAAAACACAAGGGTTTCCACGTTGCTTACACCCTGATCTTTACTTTTATTCTTGAAATAAGTAGGTAGTCGAAAGAATGCGTGTGGATTTGGCGACAGCAAGTACAAATCCGCGGCTCACAGGCACACGCCGATTCGAGTCGATTGCCTTAATTACGTGTTATGGCTTAGAGTCATTGTTGCCATACTTATTACACAGTAATTAGCTGTAACATGACATCAAGGGCCCATTTGACGCACACTTTTGAGGTTTTGTTACTCAGCAAAACGATGATGAGGAAGATTGACTACTCATGCCCGGATAATTTGATTGTTCTACTAATACATATTAAGTAGCCGTTATTTTGTACCTTAACCGGAGTCGCAAATTGGTACCCAAGGTGAGTAAACTTCGGAGTTTCGCTTGACAAAACCAATCACCTTAAGCATCGTAGCTTACGAGCCAGTTCGGCAGGTGTAAGATCACCATTGTCCACGACTTCCGCAAGTAAATTTCTTTTTCAGAACCCAACAAATTGGTCGAAAATTTAATTTCACAAAATTTGAACACCAATTCCAAAATAAGCGGCGTTTCAGTATCTATGGCCATGAAAACAAAGTGCCTAGCATGCGGATGGAAACCTAATTTTCCAGATTTCTTCAGTGGTTCAAAGTAACTTTTCTTTTGTCTGGAGAGAATGGGTGGAAATGCTTTTTACCTATTTCAAATGAAAACCTTTTTAGACCACATTTGAAAGACGTCAAATTATGTAACTCAAATTATTCGTTTTCTTTTTAAATTACAGGAACATACACTCATGATTGGTGCTTAGAGTCAAGTCCGCCTTTTTTGACTTTGCAAAGCCAATTATTGTTAACCTGAGTAAATACTTGTGAAAATGCCCCTACGCACACACGCAGGCATCGCATCATTAAGTAGGCTAATTAGGTAAAATGACGCCTGGAGCACCAATCACGTGCAGCTGCACTCAGAGGGTGTAGCCAATGACGCTAGGCGAGTGAGCTTCGCATCGTCTTCACGCACACTCACGCACACCTCGCCATTCATGTGTCTCCAGCATGACTCTTCGCTTGGCAATTATCCACAGGGACAAAATTCTCACTCCCGTTACAATCGACGAAGACGCCACCGTCTCCGACTTGAAGTTCCACATCGCGGACCTCATCAACGTCGCGCCCGAGGCCCAAACACTAACATTTGATGGTGTTCTGTTGGAAAATTGGCGTCAGCTGAAGCTGTACAAGTTCCCAGCCAAGGCGGCGCTTAGCCTGGACGTGCCGCTTGACCACTCAAGCAAGTTCAAGATCTTCGTGAAGCTGCCTTCGCGGACGCGACCCCTCAAACTGCGAGTTGGCATGGCAACGACCCTCGGCGATGTGAAAAGGATCCTCTCACAGACGCAGAACCTGCCTCTTGACCAACAGGTCCTGGTGTATAAGTCATGCGTGTTCGACGCCGAAGACGACAATCGACTGCTGGCAAGTCTGAAGATCGCGGCAAACGCCAAGTTGGAGGTGTTTCTGACGCACTCCAGATCCGACCGACGGTACACTGAGTCCGAGGACTTCAACTCGAAGCCAGCCTCGGTCAAGTCAGATCGGCCCTCGGGATTCGTCTACGCCGATATTGATTCGGAAGTTGCCGTTGGATGCTACCGACTCAACCAAATATAGTGATGGTGTGTTCTAGAAGTCGACTACTTCTACCTCTAGTGTATTAACGTCCGTAAAATCGGGTTTGTGAGTCATATCTTTTCAATGTTACAACAATGTAGTGCTGCTTTATGTATTAATGGTTTTGAGCTAATTGGACACTCTACGAGTCGCGAATGTTAACTAGTTTACAAAAGACTGAAACTGTTACGTTTGCCCGTAACAAAGAGAAAATCGCTCAAATAACGGTACCAGAATCCCTTGGTGACGCTATCAGAGCCCGTGTAGGGAACTTCAATCGCGTCAGCCACGTGTGGAGTGAGTTGTCGAAAACGAAACTAATTCAAGTCAGGGTTGACCTTGACCTGATAAAAAGCTTAATTAAAACACATGTTAGTGAAGTAGCGTAAATAGTGCCAGAAATCAACGACGAGCAATCGTGGGGCATCGTGGAGCCCCTTTAAAAAAAACACAATTTCGAGTTAAATGCAGATGAGGGATTGAGTTTAAGTCAGACGGTAGCCCCACTTTCAATTTTGTGATCTCCGAAATCTTCGGCAGATCGTCGAAAGTCACTCGCCTCGCGAACAAGTGGTTTCTCAGATTGTGAGACTGTTAAATCGTCAAATTTGCGTAAATCACCGGTTCACCAAAGTGTAAAGATCTGCTCCACTTACAACCGCAGCGCCAAAATGCCAACAGACGTAGCTGCACGTGGGACCTTCTGTGAAGGTCAAATTTGGTGTTGGGTGGGTCCGCAGATCTTTACATTCCGAGTGACTGGAGGTAGCCATGGGGCATTTGAAAACGATGCCCCGGTATATGTCTAGAATACGCTGTCTCAAGCTGATATGCATGCTTTCGGCGACTCTCCTTGTCGCGACTGCCTATAAATCTGCCGTTGCCATGGCAACCAAGCAAAAAATGCATGATTCGTGGAACTGCTTTTAACCAGGCATTATTGGTTACCCGGTTATCTGACGCTGGAACGCGTTGACCCCCTGTGTGTGGCATAGCGTGATGACTGACTAACAGTCCATTAGGCATTTTCTGGAACATCCCACGAAGCGGCACGGATCGCGGGCATTGTCAGCAGTAACATCGTGCAGATTGGTCAAGATTTTAGACAAGTTGATTGGGAATGAAGTCGATCACCCCCGCCTGACTGACTGATTGACTGCTAATGGCGGCAGATTATTTGAAGATGCGCAAATCCAGTACTCGGTGGGCCGTAAGAACACAAAGGCTATGCGTGCGAAAGAGCACGCTTAGGTGAGATGTGATTTGGCAGCCCACTGCACCACACCAATTAGTGCGTGAAGAATATTCCGATGATCAATTCTGGATCCACCGTGGTTTAAAAATTTGAACCGGTTTGAGACAACAGTTAATGGTGTTGTCGGGCGTGTCTGTCATTTTGTTTACAACCACAATAAAATGAATATTATGCAAAACCTACTTTTTTTGTTTTGGAAATTCCTGTTGATGCACGTGGTAACAACGCCTAGAAAACCGCGATTTAGGCGGAATTGACGAATCGGTTTCCGATTAGATAGTTTTGGTGAAGTTAAACACCACGCGCTCAGGAAGTTCAGTGGGAAAGTGTGTTTTTTTAGTTGGAAGTGTGCAGACAACTGTCTAAAAATCTGGGTCAGGAGAACGAAACTACTCATAAGTCATTTCAGTAGACAGGGACCCAATACAGTTTATCAAAACCAATCGTGAGGAAGAGACTGGCGGTTTTTGAGCTCGTAGTGAAGTATACAACTTCAATATTTATAAATGAGATTAGCCATGTAGCAAGGTGACGGGAACATCACATTACGAAGTGGATTTCGCTTTGCTCCGAAACTACATTGACCGGAGTTTATGTCGACAGGGAGACAAATTACGGTTGTGAAGACTCACAGACGCTTGTGGGTCTTTGAAGGACATCTCAGACAGCTGCTGTCAACAATACCGTTTGGGTGTGGTGCGGGTGTGTTGCTGTTGTGGGGCCATCGTTGTTTACACCAATCCCCTAACCACGCCGCCTCAGTGGGTGAGTCACCCACGGTATCCTACTGACAACCACATCCGTGTAAATCCTTTTTCATCTGTCAGGTCAAGGTCATTCTGACAGATCACACACATTTATTGGCTGACGCGATTAAAGCGCTCTACACGAGCTCTGGTCTTGTTCTTGCATCAGCGCGGGAAGGTCGCTTCTAGCTTCAACAAGGGATCTGGTACTGTTGCCTCAGTGATTTTCTCTTGGTTACGGGCAAACGTAGCATTCGCATTTTCGATAGCGCTGATCGAGTGCTCATGTTCATGTGTGTGTTTTTCCAACCAAGGGAAGTTTAAGCAAATCTTGTGCCAAATTTACTAAACTATCTCATGAAGATAGCCTTAATCTTCCATTTCGCGCAAATCAGACAATCCAGGAAACGCTCCACAGACGACAAAGTGATCCAGATCAAGGACCCACTCCGACTCTACCGTTATTTGGTTTCCAGTTTAGCGATAACGCATGATCCGATCCAGGCGGCTTAAGTTGGCCATCGATTGCGATCACGAGTCACTGATTGGTGAATTCTATTTTGGAGCCACGTTCCTGTGCAAACTACTTTACGCGCTGAAGGCATTAACGCTTGCGAATCGCCACAAACTTTTCAAGTTTGCACTATGCGGACACGGTCAGTTTCAGAAACCTCAGCGATTGTGCACGAGTGAGGCTTGCTAACAGATTTATCGATTTTGATGACAGCCCCGTTCTCAATGGCTGTTACTGGTCGCCTGTTACACACGCACGCACACAATTGGCTGGTTTCAAGCTAAGAAACTGTCGTATCTACTGTCACCGCCCTTGTCTCTGCTTACTAGAGCCTGTTAACTAGCAGGATTGTGAGGCAGCGCTAGCAAACCACTGCGAGATCTCTTAGAGACGTACTCGCGAATCAGCAGCGTAATTTTCATTGCAGAGTTTGTGTGCCTTGTGTGCTACTTATGATATCAAATTCCAGTTCAATTTCTCGATTAAAATGTACTGCAGCGAGTACTCAACCAACCATGACCAGCAATTAGGAAATTAGAAGGTGTTTTCACGTTACGAGGCTTAGGAGGTAGAGCCATGTCCGTAATGAAGAAGAAACAATTTATAAGGTCCCCCATAAACCAACAATTCAATGAAATTCACTCAAGACTTCATAGTAAATACGAAATTTTAGAAAAAGAAAGACACGACAAGAACACGGCAAATAAGACCTAGGGTTTTGAGCAGAGCTAGTCGTTTTTCTTGAAGAAAGCCGCCTTCACTTGGTAGTACTCGTTCTCGGCTTCCGCCTCCTTGTCGGCTAGTCGTTCTTCCAAAAGCCACGACAAATTGATCCACACGTAGACGAAGAAGGCCGTAAGGAGGCCAACAGCGCAGTAAACGGAGACGAGCATCAGAGGAAGAAATTCCAGCCGAGGAAACACGTAGGGCAGAAGCAGTCGGTTGGCGAGCAGAAGAGGAAACAGACCAATGAGGTGCACCTGAGCCAGCACGGATATGATTGGCCAAAGCGAGTGAAGGCGACCGCTGCTCACTGGGGTTGACGATCGCCCCAAGAGCAGGTAGTGGCTCAGAGTGTAGAGTAGGTAGGTTGACAGGACAGCTGGTTGTTCTAGGAGGGTGAAATTAGGCAGTGAATTAGGGTCATTGTTCAGCCTCCGGCAACGAAAAAAATTACGTTGGCAGAACTACTGATGTCTTCTCAGTAGCTCTTTAACTGCAACTTCGAAAGAAATTGGATTTAGGTGTCTACTTACATCGTTTAAGTAGCACTTTATCGAAAGATCTCACCATTAGGCGTGTAGATGAGCGGAAGTAGACTGAAGTGAGCAACCGTGGTGACGTAGAAGGCCAACGAGCGAAGCCTCCGCGATGCCACGGCCAGGAACCTGCAACGAAAACCACAAAACGCATCAGACTGACCACCGGGGTGGGGTGGGGGGGCCTATCGTGGCTAGGGGGTTACGTGAGTGGCAAGGTCACCGTCAGCACAGCCTTCTCGTGGACGTGCCAGCCGAACAGGAAGGAGGCCCAGGCCGCGGCGACGATGGCTCGCACGAGTGTGAAACCCGAATCCGCTGCCTGCAGTTCTCCCTTAGACCGCCTGCAAATCACCAGGCTCGGCTGCAATCAGGAGGAAGAAACACGACGCTGGTGAACCCCCGGATGGAATGACTCCGGTAAAACAAAAGAGCAGCTCACTGCGTACCAGAATGAAAAGGGCCGTTAGTGCAGCGGCGTGAACCGGCCGGACAGTGGGAAGACAGGAGTGCACGTAGTTGCCCGTCAGTCCGCTAGTCATGTCCACTCGGTTCTCCAGAGCGATGTCGGGGCGCAGGGCACAGTAGTTTTTAAGTGTGCCTGACAAGGGCAAGATCCACTTAATATTGGGCGTTTTGGCCTTATTTTTACAGATTTACATTTAAAAGAGAAATATTTTCGCGGAGTGTTGTGGTTTCGAAAGGGAACACTTCTTAGCCCCCTAAAAGACAGTCCAGATTGCAAAATACACCCCGGTGATTGTAGCCCAAGTTGTTCTGAGTCTATTCAGGCACTAAAATGCATATTTCGTTAAGCGATTTCCTATTTGATCCAGTTTCGTGCAAAACTCGACGCTGCCTCGATCAGGAGCTGGGTTTACGTCCAGATCAGGGATTAAATCATCCCGACTTCTTAATCTCCTGACATTTGCGATTTACGAGCGATCTTCCCAGAAGTCTGCTCTGTCCCCCTTTGACCTTCAGCTTTTATTCAATTGGATCGACCTTGAACTCTGCAAGCAGGCTGACAAATCGAATGAATGGTGACCTTACGGCAAAGAACCTTCCAAAAGGCAGCATTCAGAGGAACTCAGCTAACGCCACATCAAAACTGAGTGCCCATCAGTGGAAGGCTTTTAGTGAACCTTACATAAGCCAACCTACGTTAGGCAACGTCCCAGAATGCGCCACTAAATGAACTCGCTTCAAGTATTGGGCGTTTGACCTTGTTTTTATAGATTTACATTTAAAAAGAGAAATAGTTTCGCGGTGGGTTGCGGTTTCGAAAGGGTCGGATGCGAGGTTTCGCAACACCGAGCGTCAAGTCCACACGAATTACATAACTTCTCACAATAGCAGCAAGTACAATGGCAAGTGGTAAACACCACATTCGATGGCACTGCATTTCACACGAATTCCATCAACATGGAAAAAATGTGGGGGGGGGGAGGCAGGGGGGCAATCAACTTGCAGTGTTCTTGGTGCCGACGATGTGTCTCATAACACGCGTGATTATTGGTACAAGCGCTTAATTACAAGTGATGATTTCGATCTTCGTGG